AATACTAAAGTGGAGGATCTATAATATCTCCCACAGGCAAGAGAAGCAGAGCCACAGGAGGTTGGATGTAGTCCTGAGCCAGGGTCAGTGGGGCCACGTGTCCACGTAGACTGCCCTCTGCCCAGACCCGACCAGAGTACGGCTCCCTGAGGTGCTGGCCAGCATCCATTTGTGGTAATTCATTAGCCCGTCACTCTTCCCGCTGCTGGACTGTAGCCATTTAAAGCAAGCGAACACACATTTTTCAAGCTCCCTCTGTAAGCCAGGTCCTGGGCTAAGTGCAGGTCATGAAATGCTGCTCTATTCCCTACCATCATGGAGCGCATAGTGATAGGATGCAGAAGAGAAAAACCCGAGTTTTAGAGCCAAACCATTACCACCCTTTAGCTGTGGGTCCAGGAGCAAATACTTTGAGCTAAGCCTCAGGTACTTTAAAAAAGCAAACTAAACAAACAAAAACCCTGCCCGGCACCTGGGTGGCTTAGTTTACTAGTGTCCGTCTCTTGAGTTCAGCTCAGGTAAGGATCTCAGGGTCCTAGAATAGAGGCCCGCGTCAGGCTCCACTCCCCAGCGGGGAGTCTGCTGGAGGGTTTCTCTCTCTCCGCGCCCCCCCCCACAATCTCTCTCTAAATAAATAAATCTTAAAAACAAAAAAATAAAACTGTGCCAATAATACCACTGCTCAGAGTGTTGTTGGGACACACTGCAAATCAGGCATCACCCAGGGCTCCCTTTCCTTTGGCTATTTAATGAAGATTGGATATTTCTTAGCAGCATAACGGAGACAAAAACCCTCAGACTGATCTGATTTCCTGAGCTGGTCCCTCTGGGACCTGTCAAGGAAGGGAGTGGATCAGTAGGATCAAGTCTTGCCTTATCTTGCTGCCATGGAGCATGTTACACAGGGTGAGATAGTTCCAGAGTCCACCAGAGGGGCGGACAGCCGGTTCTTTACCTCCAAAGGAGTGATGTCTTCCACTCCTTACCTTCTGAAGGTTTATTTAAAACAGATACACAGACATGCATGCCACACAGACATATGCATATATGTCTGTACACACACATAAACACACATTCACACACATACAATACACAGGTATATACACATGCATATATACATACACACAAATACATGCACACATATATACATACACATACAAACACACATGCACATTTGTATACACATTCATACATATGGACACACACACAAATCTGAACACCTGGAAGGCAGAAGATAAGGGGAGATAAGAGCTAAAATACTCTACCAACTATAGAAAAGGCCCCTGAACCATAGATAATAATTGGAAAAAATTTCCCAACTACCATATAGCTTTCTTATTATTTTTTTTTAAGATTTTATTTATTTGTTTGAGAGAGAGAAAGAGCGTAATCAGGGGGAGCTGCAGGCAGAGGGAGAGGGAGGGAGAAGCAGCCTCCCCACTGAGCAGGAAGCTGGACATAGGGCCCCATCCCAGGACCTAAGATCGTGACCTGAGCCCAAGGCAGACACTCAACCGACTGAGCCGCCCAGGTTCCCCAAGCTTTCTTCTTCTTCACCCCATTCTCTGTGAACTGGGATTTTCTCTCTGGTTCAGCAGAGAGCCCTGGGGTTCCTGGGCTCCCTAGAGCTCCCAGCCCAGGACTTCTCAGCTTCCAGAGCTGGCCTGAGGTGACTGGTGCACGCTGAGCACATCCTGACTTGAACTGTTTGCAATGTTCACTTTTGAAGAATGAATGTAGCTAGAGTCAGTCAAGAGATACTACGCCTGGGGTTTTACCAACCAGGGGAGTTCAGGGGAGAAATGACAAGTACAATTTAGTCTGACAGTTCCCATTAAGTACCTGTTATGGTAAGATACTAGTTTAAGGACCCTACAAAACAAATGTTTTTCTCTATTTTATAAGGCAGAAGAGTGATGAGGTAACCTGCCTGTATGGCAAGTAAATTGTAGGACTAGGACTTTAATCTTCCAGAATCTCAAAGCAACTCCTCTCTGCTACTCTAATGACCATTTCTAACCATAGCCCAAAAGGGAGACCCAAGAGGCAAACCAAGTGGGGAGGACAAAGGCACAGCCAGAGACCGGGTATGGGATGGAAGGCAGAGCCAAGAGTGCAGAGCTGAGCAGAACAGGGATGGGGGAAAGATGCAAACTGGGGACCATCTAGAGGGACCTCGCAGTTGTCATGAACATGCTCAGTGGACCTGAGACCGCCTTACCTGCGGTCAGTGTGTGGGGGTGGGGCCGATCGAGCAGGCAAAGTGGCCCAGCTGAGACTCCCCGTGTTCCCTGGCAGCCAGTGAGCCTCTGCTGGACTGCGGCGGGGGGAGTGAAAGGTGAACCTGCCACAGGGGGTTCGGGCCACCCAGAAGGGAAGGGCCACAGAGCTGGAGGCGCGTGCCGAGCCCCTGGGCAACATCTCGGGTTTTCAAGGTGGTTCTGGGCTTTGGAGTTGGACAAACCTCGCTCCAGACCCCTCCTCTACTACTTGCCAGCTGGGTGACCTTGGGCAGCTACTTAATTTTCCCAAGTCTGTTTTCCCGTCTTTGCGATGGAAACAATCATACTACCTGTTTTCAAGCCTTGTTCTCAGAGTTCAGTCAGCTAATCCACATACAGCTTTTGGCTCAGTCCCTGGAACACAGTAAGTGCTCAGTAAATGTTGGCTTTTTCCATTAGTGCCAGGTCCTAAGGCATGGACAGAGGAAACACATCTCTCCTTGAAAGCAGCAGAGTGTGTTAGCTGATCTATCACGTTGAATCTGTGACTGTTGCGGATATAGACTTTTTTCAAACTTCGCTCACTTCCCACCACTTTTTGTGTTTTAAATCCCATTTCTGTACTACCAAGAGTAACTTTTGGATGCCTCGTTACACTTAGCCATCGAGCTATGCCTCTGTCCTTGGCAGAGAAAGAGTGACATACTCCAAACATAACCAGATCTTATGGTGTTTAGAACCGGGCTGACTTGGTCCAATTCCCAGCCCTGCCACTTTTTAGCTAAATAGCCTGAGGCAAGTTAATCTGTGCTTTAGAGTTTCAGTGTTCGTCATCTGTGACATAGGAGTAGTAAAGCCTCCTTTGCAGATAGGTTGGAAAGGAATCAGATGTCAACCCTTGGTGTTGTCACTGTGGGAACACACAGGGGATTCCTTCACCTCTGGGACTTGAGCTGTTCTGAAGACTCCAGACCCTTCCCCAGCCTGGCAGCTTTTTGCTGGCCCCTCCTCAGCATAGAAAACCACCCAGAATCTCTGCGAGGGGCTGCCCACTCCCCAGCTTTACCTCATCTCCATCCCTAAGTCCCAGCATCTGTTGCCCAGACAGCTGCCGAGCTGTGCCCAAGTCTCTCCCTGGGTTTCATTTGATAGGTCCGGCTTTGTATTTGAAGAAAAGCGGGTGTTGGTGCTGGGCCCCAGGGAGGCAGACCTTGCCTCTGCCAGCTGCCAGTCATGTTCTGTCTCTCGCATCGTGCCCTGGGGTCCCAGGTGATCCCATTACAGAGTATCTCACCAGACAGCTGCCACTGGGACCCTGTGGAGGGACGGACAGTGATCAGGAGCCTACCCTGAGCACACTTGGCAGTTCTGTTGAAAGGCTGGTAGCCATGTCTGCCTTTTCTTGGTAATGGTGATATATTCCTTATAACAACAGCTGAATGCTCCAGACCTTACCATGCGGAGAGAAGGGACGTCCTTTCCATTTAGTGAGTTCTTCCTCCTCTGCAGGCACCCTCAAGGGATTTTACTCACGTGAACACCCTCCTACTCATGCAAGGAAGGCCTTATTATGACCCTTCTTTTATAGATGAGAAACCAGAGATGCACGGGCACCACATCTAATCCTCACAACTGCTGGAATTTTTATTTACATGTGGAAGAACTGAAGCTCCGAGAGGTTAACTCTCTGGCCTGTGGTCATACAGCTGGAAAAATTGCAGAACAGGAATTCAAAGTCTGTTTAACTTACAGCATGTCACCACTTAAGGACAGTGTAAATATCAAGAGTTTCAACAGTGTTTGAGAGGGAGAAAGGAAGTGGGCTTGTGCATTCTGCTGTGTCGCTCTGACCAGCAGGTAGTGGTCACCAGAGAGGAAATCAGGTGCCTCCTCCTGCCCCATAACCCACTCTGACCTTCCTCAAGGAGACGAAGTGGTGACAAGTGCAATGTCCGCTATCTAGGGAGGTTGTTGCATGTGCCCACCTCAGAAACAGTGAATCTCGGGAAAAATTTGGATCAGAATTTGCACACGGGTAGCCTGGAGGCCACATTAAGCCAGAAAGATGTCTTGTTTTGACCACTGGTATTTTTTTTTTAAACTTTAGATTTATTGCTCATGTTTTAAAAAATGCAGCAAGTTCACATAGAGCTCTAAATTCCTGAATTATCTTTTAGAAAATCAGAAGTTCTAAGAGCCCTGGGCCTCTGTCCCCGTTAGGCCATCATTGGCTGGAGTTTTGCCATGCCTGCTCCCTTTGAGAAGAAGGTGCTTCCCAATTTGCTGTAGTCCCCATGGCCCCTATTACTCTGTGTCAGGCAGCACCCCTCTCCCTCTAGCATTGCTCCCCTCCTACCTGTTCTCTTATATTAGATGTAAGAGGAAAATGAACCTTCCTGTGCTCTATAAACTTGGGGGGGGGCAAGAAGTGAGAATATACATTTCTATGTAAAAATGAATATTTAATATTTATATATAAATAAAAGCCAATATTTATATGTAAATAAAAGCATAGATATAGATATCCCAAAGAAACAAACCAGGCCCTCTTCATTCATTGATTTGGTCTCTTCCGGGTCACTGCTGGTATTTAAATATAACGGGGTCATTAGCCACTGTCTTAGGCAGCGTTGGTTGCCGCTGCCCACGTGGAGCCCAGCATCTGCGAGCTGGCCTGGAGGCTCCCACGAAGGACGGTTCTCCAGCCTCGTGCCCACGCTCCCGGGCTTCCGGAACTTTCCCGTCACGGCTTTGTTCTCTCTCTTTTTACTTCTTTAGGTGTTCCCTTCCCCAAGAATTTCCTTCAGATCTGCAAGAAGATCCTGTGCCGCCTTTTCCGTGTCTTCGTTCATGTCTACATCCACCACTTCGACCGTGTCATCGTGATGGGTGCGGAGGCCCACGTCAACACCTGCTACAAACACTTCTACTACTTCGTCACGGAGATGAACCTCATCGACCGCAAGGAGCTGGAGCCGTTGGTGAGTGTCCCCGTGCAGGGCTGAGCCGTGGGTCACAGCGCACTGCCACAGGTGGAGTTCGGTGTAAGGGTCAAAAGATGCCAGGATGTCCCCTGCACTCACCACCTAAGGGTCTTACGTTTCTCTCTGAGTGGGGGCAGAAGGGAGTGGATCCTGAAGGTTTGGGCCAGAGGGAGTGGCTTTAATTCTCAAAACCAGCCACTGATTTACATAATCCCTTAAGTGAGCATCTTTGATGTCTTACCTCAACTGTTTAAAGATAATGAGAGGGGCACCTGGGCGGCTCAGTCCTTAAGCATCTGCCTTCTGCTCAGGTCATGATCCCAGAATCCTGGATCAGTCCCGCATCAGCATCAGGCTGCCTGCTCACTGGGAGGCCTGCTTCTCTCTCTCCCACTCCCCCTGCTTTGTGTTCCCTTTCTCGCTGTGTCTCTCTGTGTCAAATAAATAAAATCTTAAAAAAAAAAAAAAAGATAATGAGAAACATTCTTTGGATCGGTAAATATGTATTTAGCACCTGTTGTGTGTCCACTGCTAGGCATGCCAAGTCAAGACAAACTGTAGCTTTGACTCCAGAGATGGAGACAGAAGGAAGCCCCAGGTAAGAGTACAGTGCCTCCAGGATTTTGCTTTTCATACTGAATCTCCCCGGATGCAGGTTTCATGGTATATATTAAAATCCAGAATATTTAAGAAAACTTTACCATAATTGTTCAGGTGAATGGGCTTCCTTGTATTTGCTTCATAAGGTATGTTTCCAGTTGGACCCAATCTGTGCTCTAGAAGCCCAGAAACCTTAAAAATCCCAGCACCTTTTAACACTTAATGTTGGATGCCATCCTCACAGCTGTTTCTCACCGGCTCTACTGAAACTTTCCAGTACAATACAGGGCTTTATACTAAAATCAGGCTTTTTTCTGGGAGTATTAAAAGTGACAGTTTTGCTAAATAGAACTGACAGGGCAACCAACTTTCATCCAAGTCCATTTGAATATGAGCAAAGCAGAGGCCAGGCTCTGGTCTTTCGCTAGTCCGTCTGTCTTTCTCTCTGTGTACATTTTTTAAATCTAGGTTTTATTGTTATTTATGTATCGTGAGGACCAAGGATCAGGGAAACAATTGCCAGTGAAAAGATAGATTGTTACACTCATACATCTGAAGAGAAGGGGGCACAACATGTCATGGGGAGTGTGGCGGGGGCATGCAGGGAGCCACCAGGGCTGGTCAGAGGCAGAGGGAGCAGGGAACATGTGGGCAAAGGCCTTTATTGTGGTTTCTCTGGGAAGGAACAATGTGAGTCAAACTAAGCGGGATTGGAATTGAATTGACTAATTTGAATCATTTCAGGAGGTGCTGGGGAATAGGGGCTGTCTTAATTGTGTGGTACCTGGACCTAGGGTGATTAGGGGAGGGCAGCCGCAGCCCTAAGGGTGAGATGCCTAAAGGAGGTGGTTGGGGCTGTGGGCCCCAGATTGATTAGTTTGTATTGACTGGAGAGTAAACAGCTGGAGGGTGAGTTGTTTACTACAGGTAGGAATTGGCTAGCCTGGGAGGGGCAGTCCCTCCGGGGTGGGCAAGGTCAGGATGTTAAAGAATCAAAATAGAGGGACACCTGGGTGGTTCAGTCGGTTAGGCACCCGCCTTTAGCTCGGGTCATGATCCCAATAGAGCCTCACATCGGGCTCCTGCTCAGTGGAGACCCTGCTCTCTCTGCCTGTTGCTTTCCCAGCTTGTGCTCTCTCTCGGTCTCTCTGACAGATAAATAAATAAAATCTTTTTTTAAAAAAAGATGGAAATTCTCTTAAAAGATCTAAGTGCTTCACTACAAATGCTTAAAAAAAATTACAAACAAGGAAAAAGACATGTTTATTATGATACAGTACCTATATCTGGCAAAGAAATTTATGTATCACCTTTAGAGTTTCTCAACTTGAAATCTATTATTGTGCTGTGAAAGTACATGGCAAAAAATATTTTTGTTTGCATCATTAGGAGTTCCAGAACAGAGCAAGACTTTCTGGGCCCAAATAAGATATATCACTGGCAAAGGAAGAGCTCATTTTCTCCATTTTCTTTCACAACAGCTATTCTAGAAAGTTACTGGGGGCAGGAACCAGGTTGTCTCTGAATTTAGTAGGACAAACAGTGTGGATAGAAGCTGAAATGCTTCCCGGTTGAATTCTCATACTTTGTCCTGTTTAAAGGCCGGCCTGGGTAAACAGTCACTATAAGGCGAAAAGGTTGTACAAACAGCTCAAGGGAGTTAAAATACTGGAAAGAGTTGATAAAGCTAATTTTAGAAAATGTCAAGTACAAAGGAAAGAGTGACTAGGGGCCATGGAAATGAAGAGGGTGGAGAAACGGTGAGGGGAATTACGGTCCATGGGAAGGAGGCTCTCCCTTTCGGTTTCACGGAGCAAAAGGGGCAGAAACATCAGATGATAGAGTGAAAAGTCAATTTCTTCTTTACATCCAGAAGCATAAAGGCTATTGTAAGACAAAGCTGAGCACGAGCCAGTAGAGAAGGCCATTCTTTGCCATCAAAAAACTCTCAGTTATCTTCTATAACTGAAGAAGAGCCTCATGGATTCTAACACCTGGCAGTGCCAGGAGCCGGCTGGAAGTCTAGAGTCACAGAAAGGCCCCAGCCCACTGTTCTAGATGAAAGCCTCTTTGGGGGCGTGGGGTAAAACTGACTGGATTAACCAAGAATTATTAACCGTGGAAGTGAGCAGGAAGGGTATCGGTGGTTCCCCCTAGCACCTTTTCTTTCTTTCAGTCTGGCTTGAAACAGTATCCTTCCTGCCTTTCTGTTTTCCTAATTGTAATTGCAGGGTGATGAATTTTAATGCTTTTACATAGTAACTAGTGTTTTCCATGCTGAATTGCCTGAAATTCTGTGTTCATTTTACAAACTATGAAGTAACAGAAGAAGAGATTGAAGATGTTTCTGAGGACAATAATTATATAATGTCAGGCTCTGGATACTTAGCATAGTCTAGTGTCCACTAAGAATACTGGATTTGTGGATTGTTCTTACTGCAAAGAACGCTTTCAGTCATTGATAATGCTAGAATACCTAACTTTTTTAAAAAATTAATTTATTTTAGAGAGACAGCACAAATGTAGTGGGGAGGAGCAGAGGGAGAGGGAGAAAGAAACTCAAGCAGACTCCACGCTGAGCGCAGAGCCCAACATGGGGCTCCATGCCACGACCCTGAGATCATGACCTGAGCCGAAACCAAGAGTCAGGCACTTAACCGACTGAACCACCCAGGCCCCCATAATACCTAACTTCTAAGTTGACTGTAGCAATGAACATATTAAAGTCAGCTGTCGTATGTCAAATCAACATATTTTTGTTTGATTTGCATATATCAAGTACCCTATGTATTCAACACAAGTTGTTCAGATGTTTCAAGGCATAAGAAAGATGCTTTCAGGAATTTACAGATGCAGGGGTGCCTGGGTGCCTCAGTCGGTTAAGCCTTTGCCTTCGGCTCAGGTCATGATCCCAGGGTCCTGGGAGCAAGCCCTATGTCAGGCTCCCTGCTCAGTGGGGAGCCTGCTTCTCCTTCTCCTCCCCTCTCTTGCTATCTCCGTCGCTATCTCTGTCTCTCTCAAACCAAAAATTTTTTTAAAAAAGGAATTTACATGCAGTCTAAAAAGTGTACAACAATGACACGCTCATCTTCTGCTCTGGAAGGATGATGAAGAGGTCAGGCATTTGGCTTCACATTCTCCCATACATTCTTTAGAAGCAATGCGGCAAGGGACCAGAAGGGCGGCATCTGTGCAGCCAGTTTCCTTTGGAATGTCAGCATTCCCAGAGTTCCCACACCTCCAGTGGGACATTCCTGACCACATGCCTTGGGACTGCACAGTGTGGGACTCAGAGACGCCACCTCCTGCTTCGCTCTGCCAGGCTCCCGCCACGCACGGCCACCCTCCCCGGTTCCCAGCGCCTTGCCTGTAGCTTTGTCTGCTGTTGACTGAGTGTCCAGCACCCTGGTTGTGTGAAGACTCCATCCAGCACACAAACAGGGTAGGAGATCCAGGCTCGGTGCTTAAAAATAAGACCCAGACTCTCTGTGTTCAAACTCTTGGATTACTAACTTGCCATCTTGAGCAAGGTAGTTGGTTTTGCAAAGCCTCATTTTCCTCATTCATAGAATGGGTATAATACTTGAATTGTTATAAAAATTAAATGGATCTGTCACATGATGAGTGCTTAAGAAATGTTGGCTGTTAAATGAGATAATGAGTATTAAGTAGCTGGCATACAGTAAGCAGGGGTACCCCAGTTCTCCTTTCCCAGCTCCCGTGGCCTTTTGCCATCTTACGTAGCCTTGAAACAGGTATAGGTGATTGTATTGGTGTCTCTGGTGGGATGGTCAGCTCTCAGAGGGCTGGGAGTTTACAGGCTATAGGCCCACATGCCCATGTTGCCAAGTACTTGCTAAATGCTTACGTGTTTTGAATTAGGAAGAGTACTTTGGGGAGGATGTACCTCCATTTGGAGCGATTTCATACCGGTCATTCCTCCCTTGGAGCCACCTTCATCTCAGACCATGCCAGCAGACTTCCACTTATCACTGTTGGAAATAAAGCTTCATCCTGTTGGATTAGCAGTAGAGATTAAAATGCAAAATTAGGCACAGTGCAGCGAAGGGATGCATCATCCGTCTTAGGCCTGACAGATAAAAATGGGACCTCAGCTTCTAGGCAGTTCTCTGTTTTAGATTCCAACTAGATCACCTGGGGGGGGGGGGTTGTTGAATGCTCTCATACTACTGCGTCCAGGTGACTAACCCTCCCCGATTTGGCACTGAAAGTCACATGTCTTGGGAAAATTCTTGGTCCCTGGCAAACTGGGACAGTTGGTCACCCTCTCAGGCCTCAGAGTGGGAATACAATTTGGAATTCAGAAGCTGGGAAGAGGTCACTCTGGCCAAACCAGTGAGGAAGGCCAGTGCGTCTGTCCCCACAAAGGGCTCGACTCATGGGTCCCACTGGGACCTGCTGGTCAGCAGCAGCCTGGGAACCCATTTCATCTGGTCTCCAGCAGTTGGGGGGAGACTGGCGCACAGACACAGACGCGCAGACACAGACGTGACAGATGAGCCATTTCTCATGTAAACGCAACAGCTGAAGATGAGTTGAACTCAAGCAAATTCACAGTTGGGGGAAACGAGCCCAAATGATGCTAGTAATTAGAAAATGGGCCAGGCCCTGATTGAACAAGCAGGCTGCTGTGGGCCCCTGGCAGCCTGGGAATCAGCTGACAGAATTGAGCTAATCAGAATTATCATTAGCAAGCACAAATAACCAGCAGTGTTTTGTTGGCCTTTCACTAAGCACAAAAGCAGACTCAGAGCGGGCTGTTAGCAGTGCAGTTGCTGGTGAATAAAGAGCTGATGAGGGAGGAGGAGAGAGGCTGGGGAGGTGGGGAGGAAAGGCAGGAGGGAGCTTGCTCACCCTCATGCACCTGCTGACCCCTGGGTGACCTTGGTCCAGGGCTTTCTCCTTCTATCTCCAGGACATCATTTCCTTATTTCTTACAATGAAGGTGATTGTTAAGGACCTGCCTTGCAGAAGTGCCTCTGGGAAACTAAATGTTATCACAGTGCTGCCCTTTTACCTTATAAGCAGGTCACTTGAGCTGTAGAAGCTCTTTGATCAAATCAATGTTTCTTGATAGGGATCCACACACTAGCTGCATCAGAATCTTCTGGAGGTGATATTTTAAAATGTGCATCCCTGGGCCTCATCACAGACACGCCAAATCAGAATTACTGAGGTTACTGCCTACTACCAAGCGCCCTCCATCTTCATCCAGAATTTAATGTGCCTGTGAGTCCCCGGGCATGTTGCCAAACTGTAGGTTCCAATTCAGTACACCTGGAATGGGATTGCGCGTGCAGGTTTGCTCCCAGGTGATGTCAGTGCCCCTGGTTCCCAGACCACACTCCGAGGGGCAAGATGCTACATGACAATTACTCTCAGATGTGAGAATTACTATTTTTAGCACTTCATCTCTTCTCCTCCTCTAGGATTGGAGGCTGGCTCAGTGAGGTGGGAACGTAAAGCAAAGAAGAAAAATCTTGAGGATCAGTAGTGGCGAAGCGTATTTCTCCAAATGGCAGTCCTGGAATGATTAAGTCCTGGGTATAAAAGGCACAGCATAGGGAATATAGTCAGTGATTTTATAATAGCGCTGTATGGCGTAGATGGCCAGTGAGCATAGCGTAACATATACACTTGACAATCACTATGTTGTACACCTGAGACTAATGTGAGATTGTGGGTCAACTATACTAAAAAAAAAAGTTTGTCCTGAGTAATGCTTGGTGAAAACAAACTTCTTTCCCTTGGTCAACTAAGTTTACAAAATGCTATATCATCATCCCTGAAGACCCACAATGTGTAATCGCAGATTAAAGGCTTTGAGAAGTCAAGGAAGTGAGGAAACTGGCTCAGTTTTGTGGTGCCCACCCAGTTTAACCACGTTTGGTCCCCTGAAATCTTTTTTCTTTGGTTGTCACTCATTGACCATCTTGTCAAGATCATGATCCGTGGAGCAAACTTTGGGCAACACTCCATCCTTGTGATATGTCTCTAGATTTTGAGTTTCCCCTTCCTGTCTCCTACTGGGCCCCCACCACACACACCATGGCTGATTGGGGGGTGGAAGAGAGAAGATGGAAAGGGGGAGATGAGGAGATGAAACTCCTCACAGGGGAGGGCTTCATGGAAAGAAAAGAAACCCTGTTGGTTATCACTCCTTGGTCCTCCTCCATCATTGTATGACACCCGTCACTTAGTTCTTAGCATGTTTAAGCATACTGCCTTTACCTTTACTTCAGGCAAGTGTGGTTGGCAGTTTCTCTGCATCTAAACCACATTCCTCTCCATTGCTCTGTGCCATTACTGCCGTTCTGTCACACCAGAGCTCCCACTTCTCCTTGGCTAATGATTCCGGTTCATGTACCTAATGATTTTAGACATTAGCTCCATAAACCACCCCTCTAACAATGGGTACCTTAGGGCCAGGATACTTTGGAGACCAAACAGTTGGAAAGCCTTGTTCCATAAAATTCTTAGCACAACCCATCTGGGCCCAAGCATATACTGACCTTCTATTCCCCTAAGAGGTTGTTGGGTCATGCCTATACTCCCCTTAGAGTGGCTCGGGTGAGTGTAGCCAAGGTTGGCCTGTAAAGGCAGTATCAGATCAGGGCTGTGAAAAGCAGCAGAGCCTCTCCCAGGAGTCAGAGCCACTCCCCAAAAGAGCCACTGGGGGCTTTTGAAAGGCCTTTTTCTTGGAAATACCATCTGTGCAAAGTCTTCTGGGATGCCTCTAGTCAGGCAGTTTCCTTGACTTGCTGGCCAATGGCTTGGACATGGGCACAGGCATTGAAGAAGGGAAGGGCTTCAGCCTGTGTGTCTGGCAGTTCGGCCTTTGCTACAGGGATGTTCCCACTGTTGTCACCGCAGTGGTCGGCCAGCCCTGGGCAAGGCATGTAACGTCTGTGGGCCTCAGTTTTCCCATATGTCAAAGAGCCCATATCAGCCGTACCCCCAGCTTGAGTGCTGAGATTATGATTTCTGATGTGGGATGTCCCCAGCCTTGTCAACCTTTGGCCCAAGGTGGCCTCTTCTTGCTTAATGAGGCCTCCATGAGTGAAAGCCCACCATGCCAGCAAATGGGGTACAACTGGCAAGACCCCAGCTGGAGTTTGCTTTCCTGGGACTTTGTCAGTTTAGACGACATGGGGTGTGTGTGTGTGTGTGTGTGTGTCCAGTGTAGCATCAGCTAGGACTGGTTGTTCAGGGCAACCCAGATGCCCACAGCTGAGTGGGAATATCGGCCAGAGGCCATTTTAAGAACCTTGGCAGACATGCTCTAAAGTGTCCATTTGAAAACTAGCAAAGAAATGTGGGGTTATTTTCCATGAACCGCCTTGTGCTGAGTTACTGGGAATGCGGCAACATCAGCCACATGTCTTTGTCAGCTCTGTTTTTCATCCTTACCCGATGTCCAGAGAGCTTTTGCTTCCGGTTGGTGGGATGAGGACTGGTTTTCTTTTGTTTTCGTTTTGGGTTTCGGTTTTGGTTGGGTCCGGGATCAGACGTGGTCTGGTTTATTTCAGGGCCTAAAATGTGGGAGATGATGCGCATGTGAAAATTGTCAGCACATAATATTGACAAATAAAAACAAGATTCAGAAATGTATTAGAAAATCATTCCAGGTACGCCTGGGTGGCTCAGTTGGTTGGACGACTGCCTTCGGCTCAGGTCGTGATCCTGGAGTCCCGGGATCGAGTCCCGCATCGGGCTCCCAGCTCCACGGGGAGTCTGCTTCTCTCTTTGACCTTCTCCTTGCTCATGCTTTCTCTCACTGTCTCTCTCTCAAATAAATAAATAAAATCTTTAAAAAAAAAAAAAAAGAAAGAAAATCATTCTAACCATATGTCTGTCTGTTAGTATGTCCTTGAGAAGGTAAGTGTGGCAGAAAGTGTCAAGAGCCATTCTGTCTTGGTGGAATTATGGATAATGCTTCTTATTTTGCATATATGTACTTATTTGGGTTTTTCAGCTTTTCTGTCACAAACGTGTATCACTTTTATAATAATCGGGAAAATCAAATCGTACACTTTCAAAGGCCTTCCTAACAAAGGCCAAAGCTGCTCCCAGTGGCCTGTGTGCCCAGGACCAATGGCTCTGAGCGTGGTATCTGCTCTCTCTGGCTGTGCCCTCTGCTCGCCTCTTCTCAGAGCAGCTGTGACAGAAATGCTCGAAGGTGCAAGCTGGTGGTACAGCCTGTGGTGGTGCGGATCGCTCTGTGTCTGTAGTTGAAGGTGGAGTACATTAACCGTGGACTAAACGATTAGGCTGTCCTTGGGTATGGAGTGGTCCCTCCTGAAGTAAGGAGTTAAGCACCTTTGTAGACATTGACATGCTGTTATCTTTACTATATATATACATTTTTTATTTTGAAGTTTCTGTTCAAAGGGGGCAGATCTCAGAGATTCCAAAGCATGTGACAAAGTCTGTGGATTCTGTCCATGTAACATATCTAGCCCTGTGGGGACAGGCACCTCACTGCAAAGCGTTCCATGACCTTGATGAAAAGTTTTGGTTGGAGCTTTTTCCTGTCCGGATTCCTCTGCCAAATTAGATCTGAAAAGATTTTTGAGTTTTAACTTCCAAGTTTTAAAAGAGAAAAGAGATTCATTGTAAAGGGATTATTCTTGACCACGGAATGGTGTATACACACTTTATTAAACTAAGGCACTACAGATAATTTTCAGCTGAAATTATCATGGGGATCTAGAGTTAATTCCAATCCCTTCTTGCTAAAGTATTGACAAAGCCCCAAACCAGAGGTAACTAAGGAAGTACCTAAGTAACAAACACAGTCTTGATCTCAGATTCTGGTATTATCTTTTTTCTTTTTTTTCCCCTCAGGACCATTCTCTCTTCTTTCTCCAGGAGCCCATGCATGCCCAACTCTATTTTATAGCACCCTGTATCTCTTTTGTACGATTGATAATTGATTCCTTTGTATGAAGGTTGATACTCTAATCGCAATGGACTCCCAGTTGTGGTTTAACTTTTAAAGTGCACAGTCTTCAAACACTATTAGTATATTTCCAGGGGCTCCTGGTGAGCTCAGTAGAGCATGTGACTCTTGATCTTGGGGGCTTAAGCCCCATGTTCTACATAGAGATTACAAAATACACATATATGTATATTTGTGTATGTTTCATAACTCATGGTTTCTGTTCCAGTTTGCCATTACATACTTCTGGGTGATGCTTACATGTCAGATGATTGTCCACTTCTGCAGGTGTGCCTTGCATAGCAGCCTAAGAATATCTGCCTAGGCTTACAAGTCACACTCTGCTTTCTCTCTTTACCTAGGCTGAGTGGGAGTGGTTTCCGACTGCCTCTGATTTTTAGCAGAAGAGAGTCATTTCTAGGCCATTCAGTACACATTTATTACATGCTAAACGTGGGCTGAAAATCAGGGTCCCTGCTTTCAAGGAATTCATTGGAAGTTTCCCGCCTACCCTGTCATTACTGCAGCATCTCCTAAAGCCTTTTCCTCAGAATCTGCTAGTTCTAGGGGATGTCAGAGGGTGTTAGGTGAAAGGGGAGTTATGTGCTCAAATAATTAGGGGAAATGGTGAGTCAATAAAGCTCTTTTGATGTCTTTAATACCCTAACGTGCATCCTAACCTCCAAGGAATCCTTTCTCTGCAGAGCATTTTGTGTATCTAAAGCTTTAAAATACAAACCATGCAGACTTATATAATCTTGTCTTCTCTCTTATGAGCTCAGTTCTCTTCTGGCTGCCTTGCATCTGTCAATAAACATTTTTTTAAAAACCTGTATCACAGACACCGCATTGAGAACTGGAGTGACGGTCACCTAAGATACACTTCCATCCTTCAGGAAAGTCGTGATTTTCAGGAATCATACCCTTCGATCCATTACTTAGAGCTGCGACACCCAGTATAGTAGCCACTAACTACTTGTGGTTGCTTCAAGTTAGACTAATTAAAATTAAATTAAAAGAAAAACTGGTCTCTTAATCTTCCTAGCCATAGTTGAAGAGCTCAAAAGCCACATGTGTCTACTGGCTAGGCCACTCCTCTTCTGGTTTACAGATGAAAAACAGGTAAGACTCAAAATTACATGTTCATTGTTTCTTCCTAGGTCCGATGTCAGAATCTCCACATTAGAGAGTAGCTCAGTACCTCAGGAGTGCTGTTGGTCTCTGGGGCACCAAGTCATAATTACACTCTACTGTGTCTGCTGAACTGGAAACTGCTGCAGAATGTTGGTCACAGTAGGAGTCCATTCATCTCTGTGAGCATTTAAAGGAAAATAGGAATAATCAGTATGGCTTGATGCCCATAGATAAGACTGTCAAATTTTGGCTGCTATGTGTGGTCTAGACTCATTCAAATTTCCCGGCCTGGTGAGACTAGATTTTTTTTTTTTTAAGATTTTATTTATTTATTTGACAGAGAGAGAGAGCACAAGTAGGCAGAGGGGCAGGCAGAGAGAGAGGGGGAAGCAGGCTCCCTGCCAAGCAGAGAGCCCGATGCAGGGCTCAATCCCAGGATCCTGAGATCATGACCCAAGCCAAAGGCAGAGGCTTAACCCACTGAGCCACCCAGGTGCCCCAAGACTAGGTTCTTTGGCTCCAAAAGACAGCAAATGAGTATTGGGGTTCGGATGCAGGAAGGCTTTATTTATTGAAATCTAAGAGTATATCTTCTCTCGCCATCTACCTGTTCCACATAAAAGCATGGGCTGTCACTATTATAGGGACTTGTGTGGTCTTAGGAAGAGCTCTTCCTGTGAAGTAATTTTATGCATAAAGTTCTGAGATACCAGCTACCAGCAAAGCCGTTTAGGCTGTAGTGTAGTAGTAGAACATCGTATGAATCAGTATTAGTCCCACACTGTTAGTGCTAACAGATTCCTGTTACATTGTGAATCTGAGTGTGCCTAGACCAAGAAATCAAAATAAAGGCATACAGGTAGGTCTGGATGAAGAAAGAGAAATGCAGACTACTCCAAAGAGAACTTCCCAGAGTTCCTTGAATGGGTCATGTCCTCTTAATGCCAGGCCGGAGATCCCTGTGAGCCCTTGGCCTCCATGTCCTCCCGAGTCCTACTCAGCCTACAAGTTGGCAGCTTCATTGTCCCTTCCTCAGAGACCTCCCTCACTCATCACCACATTGGGTCCCTGCTAACTGCTCCCCGAACCCAAAGAGAGCAACCAAGATGGAAGCTCCCATATTGTCAAGGTCCAGTATCAGAAGCAATGGAAGCCACCCCTTCCACCATTTTCTGTTCCTTAGAAGTGAGTCACTCGGTCCTGCCCATACTTGGGAGAGGGAATTAATCTCTATTTCCCAAAGAGAGAAATGCCAAAGACTTTCCTAGTATATTTTTAAATCACTACAGACACCAAATTTTTTAATGGATGATGTTTGCCTTTGGCCTGTCCATTTCCCTTTCGTCTTTCATTTCCCGCACCCTGTAGCTCAGATCTGCTGCCTCCCCCAGAGCAGAGCGCTCATTCCTCCAGAAATCACCTGCCTCCGTGAAAACTCCCATAACCACCCTCAGAGTGGTAGGCCCCGCCTCCTGCTCCTAGCCAGGCTCCTCGAGGAAGACGGCTGAGCCAGTTGTCTCTGCTATCTGCTCTCCACGATCTGCAACTCCAGAAACTTGCCCTTTATCCTGCAGTACTGACCCGCAGCCCTGTGTGCTTACCTTTGAAACAGAGAAGAAATAACATGTGATATAATTCATGGTGGTGAGAAACCTAAAAAACATAGTGCTCAGCAAAAGAAACCAGACATAAAAAGTACATACTGTTTGATCCCATTTATATCAAATTCTAGAGCGGTCTAAACTAATGGACAGTGTCAGAAAGCAGATGGGGTGGTTGCTGGGGTGGGGGGGGTGGTTGATGGATTGATTGAGGGTCAGGAGGGAATCTCTGAGGCAATGGAAATGTTCCGTATCTTAACGTGGTGTTTACCTGGGAGCGTGTCCCTATTGAAGTTCATCGAATTCTACATGTAATTAGAAGCATTTTATAGGACCAAATATACCTCAATAAACTTTATTTTTAAAGGATGCTTGGTAAAGGATTCAGTATATTTTTAAAACAACCTTAGTATTCGCAAGAACAATGATTTGGTAGTGATAGGTCTTTGCTGAAAACTTGTCTCCCAGCTGCCTGGGTGGTTAACAAGACAAACTGAAAGGGAAAGTGGGGACTTATCCCTGAGGGCCAATTAGAATATCTGCATTTTCATTGGTTATAATAACAGGAATAATTCATGTCACAGAGATGGGTAGCTCTCCCTTACCTCTGGCAATCAGTTATGAATGGTTGTAAAACATTCTGCTGCATATCACCTGGGGAGACTTCAGAGAGCATCTCAGCCCTCAGTCCCCCATCCCAGGCCTATTAAATCAGGATCTCCAAGGGTAGGGCCCATGCAAAGTCCAGCTCTCTAGGCGGCTCTCATGAGACACCACTGGTGAGCCCCAGTGAGGTACGGTGCTTCCTGACTCTTCCCACACAAGAACATCTGGGGAGCTTAGGGAGGGTGAATGCATGGGTTCTACTACTGGAATTTTTGGTTCAGTAGTTCTGGGATGGGACTTGTGAATCTGCATTTTTAATAAGCTCCCAGGTAACGTTGATATAAGCGGTCCAGGAATCACACTTTGGAACTAATACCATCCATTCCCCAATTTCTGGGCAGAACTGGAGTCCAGCAGGATTCCCAGACTGAAGAGTGGCCCCTCTCATCTTGATCTTGTAGATGGAATCTAGCCCCACTACTTTGGTTTGCTTAAGGTCAGGCTTAGCTCCCTCCACTCTGCGCCTTCCCCCAGAGTCAGCCCTACATCCTGTTCCCTGTCTAAACCATAATGTTGTTACTTTGCTGGCAGCAGCCACCACCACACCCTAGAAGCCCATCCCCTCCGGACCTCACCACTTCAGCACGGCCCTTATTGCGTATCAGAGCTCCCATCACACAAACCTCAGTGTGGTCAGGACCCTGTGTTCCAGGCGCATGGCTGGGCTCCAGGGATACTGCGACTAGTCCGTCTAGGTCTTAGCGTGAGCCCTTTTCTTGTGTAGAGATGCCAAGTCTTCATTTTCCCACTGGTAGAATGAGGGAGCGTAGCCCAAATCGGGGTCCTGTGAGCATGCAGGGGTGAAGCCGGGGCCGGCGGCTGGGCCCTCACCTCCTCTTCAACCAGATCTGCTGTAGTTTTTCATTAGTGGCCTTTGTATCAGATTACATTAGAAGATATAGTTTCTGCTACTAAAAGAAGTTGTAAATCCACTGGATTAAGGAAAGTTTTGATTTCCTTCCAGTTCTGGCACATTGTAGATCCAGAATGACATAGATTGTCCTCTGCCTTTTTTTTTTTTTACTTCATTTTTTTATAATAGTAAATTATTTTGGAAAAGATTTATAGTAGAGATTTATGTCTGTGTCTTATTAAAGTATTTCAGCCTAGGAAAAACTTTAAATGGCCTGTAATAACTATACACTTTTAAAATTTGATATGTTGAGCTTCTGAGAATATAGTAATCGGAGGAGAGGGAAATTTTTTTAAATAAAGCTGTGGACCAGGTGCTGTGGGAAATGGGTTTATGTATTACCTCATTTACTCTGCACACAGTTCTATGAGATAAATACTGTTTTTATCCCCAATTTAGAAAAGAGGAAAATCAGACAAGGCGGTGAAGTAATTTGTCCCATATCACACAGCCCTGTGGAATCAGGATTCGAACACAGGAAGTCTGACCCCAAAACCCAGACCCACCTCTGCTCAGGCATTTTTTTTGCTCAGGTGCACACTAATTCATATGATTTCTGATGATCGGTAGCAGTTAGGAAGTTTCCTAAAGTTCTGTCCCTTTGGTAGAACAGCATCCGGCTGCAAGGCCACAGTCAAGTCACATCTGCGCTCTGAGCACATGTGGCACACTGTGTTCAGTGACTCAACACGATAGCGTGTAAGGAGCTCGTGTGTGAGGAGCTGGTGCTAAGTGCTAGGACGACTAAAACGGCATGACACCTGCCTCAAGAAGTGTCACGTCTGTAGTTAGGTGACCCAAACACAGCCTGCAGAGGCCAGGCAGGTGGCAGGTGTGAATTAGCAAGCAGGTAACAAGAAATAGGAAGCTCTGGGAGCCACCTCCCTGAGACTCCAGCTCGTGGTTTCACTGGGGGAGCTGGGACCCAGAGTCTCCAAATCAAAAGAAATTGGCACTCCATCATTTTAGGTGAACGCTTCATAATTTTAAATGATGGCAACTGATGAGAGTAGTTCTTGCACTTTATTTCATTTCATTTTTTAAACCTTCAGGCCCAAGCCGTTCCTTCTTGGAGTGCAGTTTGCCTAAGAGCCATCATTTTGCACTCCTGCCTTGTATAGAGCCCATGGTAGGTAAGACAGGGTCTGGCCCATTACAATCTGGCAATACTTCACAGTGCCTGCACCTTAGGTGTTAATTTTAGAGTTCTCCCTGGTCTTGAAAGCCCAGAACTTCTAAGCGTATGAAATGAAGCATTGGGGTGTGTTTTGTGCGTGTGTGTGTGTGTGCGTGCGTGTGTGCGTTGGGGGAGTGTACCCACTTCAGATGAAGCAGATGAGACAGTGGTCGTTGGGTTGAGTTGGCATCCGCTTCAAACCAAGCCTGCCCCGTGCGCCCTCGCCATCGCTGGTCTGCAGCGACTGTAGTGCTCTGGGAACCAAGGGACACAGAGCGCATCTGTTCCTTTGTCGCTGGCTTCACCCAACACAGCCAGTGTCATCGCCAGTTGGATTGTGGACCCCGTCACTGCCAGGCCCGGGCTGGAAAGCAGCTGTTGTAATCATATACGTTCACTCTAAACAGTGGATCCTTGAGAAAGTCCACTGCCCACCAGCCCTGCTCTGGGGAACTGGCAGAAGGTACCAAGTGCTCACAGCACACCCCCAAGGGATTTTATCTTACTAGTCTTTGAAAAACACTGGCAAATGGACAGGAGTTAAATAAGGTATTTGACCACATCCCACATAGGTTGGTTTTAGTTTTATGGCCTCAGGATTGAAGAGGCAGACTTTCCATGAAAGTTGGCACTCCCATGCCTACCTAAATTCAATTTTTAATATAAGGTTTCTGATGTGGTTTTCGCTTTATTTGGAACTCAGCCTTTCTTTGACGGTGACAGCAGCCTTTAT